TTTTTTTTTTTTTTTTTTTGGAAATAACAGAGGAATTGAAAAGAAGGTTTGAAAGTTTTTGTGGAATACTCCAATATGAAATGAGAACTTAATCTAAAAGCTGAAATAGTAAAAGCAGTATTTCAAAGCAAAACCAAAACCAGAGTAAGCAGACAAAATAGTTTGTTGTAAAAAAAAAATAGTTTATATGAAGCAATGTGTACCCTAACACTCAACTTGAGGGATGCTTTTTGATACACTCTGAATTTGACCAATGTCAACACAAATGAATGAAATTTTTCTGCATCTGGAATATTTGTTATGAAAGACTATTGAACAGCACATGATTAAAAAATTTCATTTTTAGAATGATAACTTCTAAATATTTATAGTACTTCAACTTTTACAAGGATTTTTATTTGGGATTTATTTTGTATTAATGTTTCTTTTATAAGGTCTTTTTTTCCCCTCAGATTTCTTGAGGTATAATCGATGTATAACATGTAAGTTTAAGATGTACAACGTGATGCCATTTGTAGCAACATGGATGGACCTGGAGATTATCATATTAAGTGAAGTAAGTCAGACAGAGAAAGACAAATACCATATGATATCACTTATATGTGGAATCTAAAAAAAAATGTGATACAAATGAACTTATCTATAAAACGGACTCTCAGAGTTAGAGAATGAACTTATGGTTACTGGGGAGAAGGGTGGCGGGGGGAGGTATAGAATAGATTGGGAGTTTGGGATTGACAGGTACACACTGCTTTATTTAAAATAGATAACCAACAAGGACTTACTGTATAGCACAGGGAACTCTGTTTAATATTCTGTAATAACCTAAATGGGAAAAGAATTTGAAAAAGGATAGTTACATGTATATGTATAACTGAATCACTTTGCTGTACTCCTGAAATTAGCACAACATTGTTAACTATACTCCAAAATAAAAAAAAAAAATGTACAATGTGATGATTTGGAACACGTGTATTTCGAAATGATTGCTACAGTAGGGTTAGTTAATACCTCTGTCACCTCACATAATTACCATTTGTGTGGGTGTGTGGTGAGAACATTTAAGATCTACTCTTTTAGCAACTTTAAAGTATATAACACAGTATTGACTGTAGTCACTATGCTGTATGTTAGATCCCCAGAATTTATTCATCTTATAATTGGAAATTTGTACCTCTTGGCCAGTATCTTCTCATTTCCCCAATCCCCAGCCCCTGGCAAACACCATTCTCTGTTTCTATGAGTTTGGCTTTATAGGTTCCACATATAAGTGATATCATACAGTAAATGTTTTTCTCTAACTCATTTCAACAAATAGTGCTCTCAAGGTCCGTTGATGTCCCAAATAGAATTTCCTTCATTTTTTTTTAATGACTGAATAATATTCTAGTGTATGTGTATATATCCGGTTTTTTTGGCGGTACGCGGGCCTCTCACTGTTGTGGCCTCTCCGTTGCGGAGCACTGGCTCTGGACGCGCAGGCTCAGCGGCCATGGCTCACGGGCCCAGCCGCTCCGTGGCATGTGGGATCTTCCCAGACCGGGGCACGAACCCGTGTCCCCTGCATCGGCAGGCGGACTCTCAACCACTGCGCCACCAGGGAAGCCCTATATATCCGTTTTTTATCCATTCATCTATCAGTAGATATTTCGGTTATTTCCATGTCCTCAGTATTGTGAATAATGCTGTAATGAACATGGGGAGTATGGGTATCTCTTGACACAGTGATTTCATTTCCTTTGGAAGTATACCCAGAAGTGGGGTTGCTGAATCATATGGCAGTTTTATTTTTAATATTTTGAGGAATCTCAACACTGTTTTCCATAGTGCTCTGCCGATTTACATTACTACCCAAAATACACAAGGGTTCCCTTTTCCACATTCTTATCAACACTTACCTCTTGATTTTGAATTTTGTTTATTTTATCAAAAACCAGCTCTTAGTTTTGTTGATTTTTCTGTTATTTTTCTGGTCTCAATTTTACTTATTACTGCTCTCATCATTGTTATTGCTTCCCTTCTGCTAACTTTGGGCTTAGTTTGATCTTCTCTTTCTAGTTTCCTGAGGTGTAAGTTTAGGTGATTTATTTGAGATCTTTCTTTTTCTTAATATAGGCATTTAGAGCTATAAACTTCCCTCTTAAAACTGCATTTGTTGCATCCCATGCATTTTGGTATGTTGTGTTTTCTTTTTCATTTGTTTCAAGATTTTTAAAATTTTCTTTTTGATTCCTCCTTTAATCCATTGGTTGTTCAGGGATGTGTTGTTTAATTTTCACACATTTTTGAATTTTCCAGTTTTCCTCCTGTTAATGATTTCTAGTTCCATACCATCTAGGTCAGAAAAAGGTAATTGGTATGATTTCAGGTTTTTAAATTTGCTAAATAAGACTTGTTTTGTTGACTGCATGTATGATCTGATTTGGAGTATGTTTTGTGTATGCTTGGGAATGTGTATTCTGCTGCTTTGGGGGTGGGATGTTCTATATACTGGTTTTCTGTCTTGGTGATCTATCCATTTAAGTGGGGCACCAAAGTCCCCTACTGTTATTGCACTGTTGTCTTTCTCCCTTTGTATGTGCTTAAGATATGTAGTTGCTCCATTGTTAGATGGACATACACACACAAACACACATATCGTTGCTCTATCCTCTTGGTGAATTGACCCCTTTGTCATTATATAGTAATAATCTTTGTCTCTTTTTTCAACTTTTGGGATAAAGTCTGTCTTCTCTGAAATAAATACAGCTACTTGTGCTCTCTTTTGGTTTCCATTTGTATGGACTATCCCTTCTGTCCCTTCATTTTGAGACTATGTGTGTACCTAAAGCTGAAGTTTGTCTCTTATATGCGTCACACAGTTGGGTCTTGTTTTTTATTTGTGCAGCCACTCTGTACCTTTTGATTGGAAAATTTAATCCATTTACATTAAGTAATTATTGATAGGTAGGGACTTATTAATGCTGTCTTACTGTTTTCTGGCTGTTTTCTAGTTTCCTTGTTCCTATCTTCTCCTGCTGTCTTCCTTTGTAAATTGATGATTTTCCATAGCTTGATTCCCTTCTCTTTATCTTTTCTTTACCTACTGCAGGGTTTTCTTCCTTTGTTAATATTAGGCTTATATACAACATCTGTAGATATAACAGTTCATTTTACGCTGTTAACAGTTTAACTTTGAATACATACAAAAATGACCATTTTATCTCTCCATCATTTATGTTTTTGATGTCAGAATTTATAACTAGTTTACAAGTAACTAATGGTAGCTATCGTTATTTTTCATACTTTTGCCCTTTATATATGGAGTTAAGTGGTTAAAACACCAGCATATTACAGTATTAAAATATTCTGAATTTGGTTATATACTTACTTTACCAGTCTGTTGTATATTTTCATGTTACTAATTAGCATCCTTTAATTTCAGCTTGTAGAACTCCTTTCAGCAGTTTTTGTAAGGCAGGTATGGTGGTGATGAACTCCAGCTTTTGTTTGCCTGGGAGCATCTTAATCTTTCTTTCATTTCTGAAGGACAACTTTGCCAGGTAATTTTGTTTGTTTGTTTTTAATTTTTGGCTGTGTTGGGTCTTCGTTGCTTTGTGCAGGCTTTCTCTAGTTGCGGCGAGCGGGGGCTACTCTTCGTTGCGGTGCATGGGCTTCTCATTGCAGTGGCTTCCCTTGTTGTGGAGCATAGGCTCTAGGTGCACGGGCTTCAGTAGTTGTGGCTCGTGGGCTCTAGAGCACAGGCTCAGTAGTTGTGGCGCACTGGCTTAGTTGCTCCGCAGCATGTGAGATCTTCCTGGACCAGGGATCGAACCCGTGTCCCCTGCATTGGCAGGTGGATTCTTAACCGCTGCGCCACCAGGGAAGTCCCTGCCAGGTAATATTCTTGATGGGAAGTTTTTTTTTCTTTCAGTACTTGTACTTGGGGTATATCTTACCCCCTATCCTGGCCTGTAGGTTTCTGTTGAGAAATCCACTGATTTTTTTATGGGAATTCCCTCATACGTGAGGATTTTTTTTCCTCTTACTGCTTTTAAAATTCTTTGTCTTTGAATTTTAGACAGTTTTGAAATGTGTTTTGGAGAAAGACATTTAGGATTGAATCTTTTTGGGGAACTGTGAGTTTCATGAACTTGGACGTCCAAATCTCTCCTCAGATTTGTGAAATTCTCAGCCATTATTTCTTTAAATAAGCTTTCTGCCCTTTCTCCCTCATTTCCCCTTCTGGGACTGCAGTAGTACATAGATTATTTCTCCTAATGGTGTCCCATAGTTCATATAGGCTTTCCTTATTCTTTTACATTCTTTTTCTGTGTTCTTCTCTGAATGGATAATTTAAATAGTCCTGCCTTCTACTTCACAGATTCATTCTGCTTGATTCATTTTTTTTATGTTCTCTGTTGTATTTTTCATTTCATTCATTGTATTCTTCAGCTCCAGAATTTGTTTGGTTCTTTTTAATTTCTGTCATTCTATTAAACTTGTCTTCTTTTAAAAAAAGGTTTGTTTCCTGATTTTATTGAATTGTCTTTCTGTGTTTTCTTGTAGCTCCCTGAACTTCCTTAAAACAACTACTTTGAATTCTTATTGTGTAAATTGCTGTTCTCCATTTCTTTGGGTTTGGCTACTAGAAAATATTGTTTCTTTTGTATTGTTACGTTTTCTTGAGTTTTCATATTCCTTGAAATCTTGCATTGTGTCTTCACATTTGAAGAAGCAGTCACCTCCTCCAGTCTTTACTGGGTGGCTTTTACAAAGAAATACCTTCTGTCACCCATTAGGGATTCTGAGGCTTTCTCATACCTCTTCTATGCGTACACTTGCTCCACATTCCTTGTACTCTCTTGTGGCAGAATTCTTAAGCTTGTATGCCTTCTCCTTGTCCTACAAAGCTCAGTGGGTGCTGACAGCCTCCCTTTTGCTTTCCCTAGGCCAGAGCTCAATGTTCAAGTTTGTGGTTTCTCCTAAACTGGCTTTCTAGGCATGCTCACTAGCCATCTGCAAAGGCTTGCTCTTGCTGCCATGGGGAGCATTCAGGGAGCTGTCTGTGGGTGGGAGGGTTTATGGGTGAGGCATGTGGGGTGCTGGGGGTGCCCAGGAGCCAGTTGTGGGGATGCACTGGAGAGGCATTCCCAGCAGCTCATGGGCAGACCTATAATAGAGTCCACAAAGTGGTTAGTATGATCTCTGTCACTTTGAGGTGTTCACTACTGACCCCTGGCAGTTCTTCTCTTAGCCGCTCACTGCCCTGAGCTCACAACTCAGTATTCTGGATGGGGCCAGAGAAATGGGCCTCATTGGCAGCGTCCCACACAGCTGGTGAAGCCAAGCACTCACATGTTCTCATGTTCCCCTGCAGGAGAAATCACTGGGCAAGAAGGGCTCTCTTGGCACTGAGCCCTGCCCCCTTGTGGGAGAGATGGTATGTTAAGTCAAACATTTCCTCTTACCCTCCTCACAGGGTAGTTTTGGTCTTTTTTGTTTCAACCGTGTGCTGGAACATCTCTCCTGGACTCCTGGATTTCTACAAAGGCTCTTTTGTCTGTGGGTGGTTATCATAATTGGTGTTCTTTGGGGAGATGACAGTAGAAAACTCCTGTTCTGCCGTTGTGACGATATCACTCTCTCCTAAAGTCTTTTATCATCCCGTGACTAATTCAGATAGAGATCATTTTTACATGTTTTTCTGATACATAATCTTACCACAGTATATTGGTTCATAATAAGTGTGCATGGATTTATTACTGGATTTTTTTAGAAACAGAAAACCTTTGAAACTTTTATTATAACCTTATTGCAGAAAAATGATTCATTATGTATTTTTATGGTCACTCATTTAAAAATAAGTGAAGTCTTATGAAAAATAGAGAATAACTTGTGATTTGGGAAAGTTCAGTTTCTTGTTTCCAAATCCCAAAGAATTTGGAAATAATATTGGGAAATAAAAGTCATAACTGTGATGGAAATAGAAGAATGAATGATTTATGCATACTGAATCTGGGGGCGTTGCCTCAGCCCCACTCCCACCCTCATCTCCATTTCTCTTCTAGGTTCATAGAATGCTGGTAGCCAATAGGTGATTGAAATGTTCTCAGGGGTTTCTAAGTAGCCCTGGAGAAAACACCTGACATGAATTTCTTTGAAGATCTAAATTACCAAGCCCCACCCACAAGTTCAGTTACAAGCTTTTTAGTCCCCTGCTCTTAATCATAAGCAAACACCAAGTATTACCAGTTATTTGAGGAAAGCCTCTTATATTGAAGATGGAAGATGGGAACTGAAACAAATAAACAGGGAAAAGCACTTGGAAGAAACTTTGCAAGGAGGAAAGAAAACTCTCCCCATTATTAATATATTACGAGAGATAAGAGATGAGGTGGAAGTAAAAAAAGGATTCTGTAAAAGGCGTAATCAGACAACAAAGAAAAGAATTTATTATAGTAGAAATGAAATTTTAGGAGCACTGTAAGATAATGTTCAGGAAATCTCCCAAAAAGTAGAGTGAAAAGACAACGTGGAAAATAAAAGAGAGAACACTTAGCAAACTATTCCTGAATTTCAGTACCCATACCAAGAAGATCCAGATAAAAGAGGAGAAATGAAAAGGAGAAAATAATAAGTAATTCAAGAAAGTTATCCAAAATTGAAGGTTAGAGTTTTCAGATTGAGTGTACCTACTGAGTGTCCGACCGAATAAGTGAAAATATACCCATGCTAAGATACATCATTAGGAAACTTTGAAACACTGGAAGGCAAAGAGATGATTCCAGAATGCAAAAAACACGTTATGTATAAAGGATTAGTATGCAAAAAACAGGCTATGTATAAAGGATAAGGAATCAGAATGGCTTTGGATTTTTATGCAGCAATCTAGAAATGAGAAAACAGTGGAGCAATGCCTTCAGAATTATGAAGGAAAATGATTTTGAACTTAGAAGTATGTACTCAGCCAAATTATGGCCAACTGGAATAAAGATATTTTCAGACATGCAAGGTCTGAAAATATTTACTTCTCTTGTCCCCTTTATTAAAAACTACTGGAAGGAATTCCCTGGCGGTCCAGTGATTAGGACTCTGCTTTCACTGCCGAGGGTGTGGGTTCGGTCCCTGCTTGGAGAACTAAGGTCCTGCAAGGTGTGTGGTACGGCCAAAAAAAAAAAGCTATTGGAGGATGAGAAATGAGAAACACCAATTGAGAGTAAATTAAGAAAAAGGAAGACAGTGGGGTATAGGAAACAGGAGATCCAAGAAGGAGGGAGATGAGGGGAATCCCCAGAGCTACTTTTAGGAGATTCCAAGGTGCTGGCTGTGTACTGTATATAGAGGGCGACCACTCCAGTTGGAGGGCTGTGAATCAGGACCTAGAAATGCAGAATTACCAAGGTGCTTGCTGTCACGGTTGTCTTTTTAACCTGAGGACAGAATACTCTGGTGAGCTTGATCCAGAATTTATCTGTTCTTAGCTTGTCTTGACTATGTACTATGGAAGTTCCAGCTTTCCCCTCATGCCCTGCTGTGTGACTCAGCTGAGGATACTTGTTTCACCTCTCAGATATATTCTGCTTTGACCTACTGCTAAGTTCTGGTGGGTGGCCATAGTGAGCTTAGAAACAAAAGATGAACAGAGCCTGCTCTCTCATCTGTATTTCTGTTGTAGGTTCAATGATAGTAGCCTGCGTTACCCAGCTAGAAGGCTTGACTGTGGTTGACCTGTGTTTTCCAGGATTCATGTCTTTGCCTCATAACTTGGCCTCATAACTCATAACTTTTCCAGAGACGAATTCTCTTAGCTTTCTGGAAAGCTGAAACTGGACAGTGACACAGAGACTGTTCAGTTTATCTTTCCCTATCCTTCCTTACTGTCCTTCATCTATAAGGGTACCATGCCCTTGTGTATCTAGGTTTGTGATTTCTCTTAAGTTTTTAAAAACCAAAAATATATTGTTCAGGGATATATATATTTATATATGTATGTATGTATATGTGTATTAAAGGCAAAACTAATCTGAAAAGCAAGGGAATGATTAACACAGAAGTCAGAAGTCAGGATAACAGTTACCTTAGGGGAGGGAAGAGGATGAGAACAGGGGGCTTCTAAGGTCCTGGTAAAGAACAGTGTTTAAAACAGGGGCAGTGGATATATGGGAGTTTATTGTATTAATTTCTTTTTATATGCATATATATATAGGATATGTGTTTGATACATATGAAATAGAAACTTTTTTTTTTTTAAATGAAATGTAATGGTACAGATGAACCGGTTTGCAGGGCAGAAATTGAGACACAGAGGTAGAGAACAAATGTATGGACACCAAGGGAGGAAGGTGGCTGGGGGTGGGGTGGGGGTGGTACTGTGATGAACTGGGAGATTGAGATTGACATGTATACACTAATATGTATAAAATGGATAACTAATAAGAGCCTGCTGTATAAAAAAATAAAGTTAAATTAAAAAAAGGAATTTAGGAAAGATAGAATGAGATAGAGAGTATAGGAGGTAGACTGCTTTGGGCAAAAATGGTGAGTTCTATATTGGGTCATT